GGTCGTAAACCCCTGTGCTTCCTTGTGCAGTGGCACGTGGCAGTAGCTTGAGTTTGCCTTATTATTGTCTTATTGCTAACTTTGTAGGCTCTGCAGGAGTGCTCTTCGTGGCACTTCTTCTTAGTCTGCAGATATTGCTGCATACGGCGCCTCGTAAGTCTATCTTGTGGGAACTAAACTTGCCCCTTGTGTGTTTGCAGATTGTGTGAGCTTGGTCGATCTACAGTTCTCTACCTTGTGTAGCATATTGTGTATTATTATCGTTAATAAGGAATGGAACTTTTACCTCCTGATTTCTGCAGATTTTGTGCTCTTGATGGCAGCTAGTGATGTCTGCAGGTTGTGCCTCGTGCGGCAGCTTGTGGTTTATGTTTTGTGTTTTTCTGGCTATGCCTCGTATTGTTTGCTGACTTTGCCTCGAGCGGCTCCTTATAGGTTATGATTATGTTGTGCCTTGTGCACCACTGTTTACTTGCACTGCGGCGAGTGTATGATTTGATTTGCACTTATCTTGCACTTGTTGCGAGTTGGATATGACTAAACTTTGCCTCTTAATCGGCCTTTACTGTATATGTCTACATTCTTGTTATTTGGCGTTCCCTTGGAGAATCATCCTTGCCGGCTTCTCTGATGACAAGAGACTCCCCCCGTACGCCTTGCTGGCGTCTTTCTTGAAGGCATTCTCTCGGCCACCGTGTGGCCCTTATGAATTTTCTGCTTCTTGGCGTTTCCAATCAGAGCGCCTCTTTTTGGGTGTCTCCAATCGAATTGATCCTTTCATTATCGACGGCTCCGATTAGAGCGCTTCTTACTTTCATTCCCACCATGAGAGGGGAACTTCTTTGGCACGTTCTCGCTTCACTATCCGAGCCACATGTAGCTTTGGGTTGACAACAGCCTATGCGTGCAGTCTTGCCTTTAATATCCCTTTTTTCGGATGTCGAACGACGTGATTTTTTTTGCTTATTATATTTTTATGACTTGATTATGCCAGAAGTATTATGACTTGTTTTGCTGGACACTTGGACACACTTGTTCTCGCCAGATGTGTTTATGAATTGTATTTTCTTTAGATATTCAAAGTTTTACTGAATTGTTTAGATTTAGTTAATCCGAGGCGCGTTTTGAATGTTATTTCTCGAGTAGTTGAGAGTTCGCCTTTTCCAGATGCTTAATGAGCTGGGAGTTTTCTTACATTCTTGAACAATGACTATGTATAAATAGAGTTTTCAACATAATAAATGCATCGAAGAATGATTCTTTTCAAACATTGTAACCAACACTTTGAAAGTCATAAAAAGTATAAGTTTCAAAGCTAACAGTCATATATATCACACAAAACATTACATGAGGCATTTTTTGGCTTGCAAATTGAAATTAAAATCGGTGTTTTGTCTTAGACAGAAAGTATTACCATATATAGAAGCTATGATATCACAATGGAACAAATTATCAGCTGCAGTTGTTGAGGTATCATGCATTGCTGGACGTAAATGTACAGAATACTTGTATTTGTAAATAAATTTATTAGACTAATTTTTTTGAAATTATAATACATCATGATTGCAATAATTTATGGAAGTGGAAAAGTCAAACTTACTTTTTTTTAAATAATTAGATTTATTGATCGATTGATTACTTGTAATTAATTATCGATTATTTAATAGTTTTAAACTGCATTCTATCGGTATACATTACATTTATACATATATGTAAGTATTTTTTGTAAGATAAATTTACTAAATTTTTTATTATATGCACAAATTAAAATATTATTTAAGCTATTACTAAGCTTTATTTATTCGATAATGAAGTATGATCTTATAACTAATACACGATTGTTTTTGTTATTATTTTGCATGATTACTTCAATTTCATTTTGATGACAAATGTAATCTTGTGTCTAGTGTGGATCATTTTTGTACCTGCCGGCTGTCCATTTTCCTTGAACACTTTCATGAATTTCGTATCATAACCAGGACCGGTTTTCTCGGTTGGGAGAACTTCAAATGCCTCTTACCTTGAGTTATTCGCCAATTTGTACTTTAAACATATTTCATTAAATTTCTCATAAGTATATAATTAAAGATATATACTTAGTAAAATTTTAAAATTATTTTAAGAAAACTGAATGCAACTACAATATATAAATTTATTATAATTAATTATTATTATAATTAATATAATATAAATTTATTTTATTAAAACTATTTTTAGTTAATGCACTCTAATAATTTGTTCATAAATGTCCTTGTTTACTTGATTTTAATTTATCATTAATTGTATACTAATGATAAAAGCATTAAAATATCAATTTCACTTTTAAATGAGTTGATAGAAATTTGAAAAGACAGTTACATATAGAAAATTAGATTAAAGATAATCAATTTTTTAATTTTATAATTTTATATAATTTGATTTATACTATTGCATTTAAACAAACTTTTTAAAAACTTAGAGTTTATAAATTTAATTGATAAATTATTAGTAACCAATAAGGATTGCATAAAACATGAAGGATTATATAAAATTACAATAATTAATTTACTACTGTGATTTATCACTACTGCACTAATCACTACATACTTATTAATTCATTATATTATTTACATCTGATAATATCAGCTAATGCGAATAAGATTAGATAATACATATATGAATATGACTTGTTGCAAATAACGGTAAATTTGAAGGCAATGATAACTAATCGTTTCGTATTCCCCTTTGGTTATAATGATAAAAGTTTTCCGTTAATCGCATATTAATATGTTATTTTTTTAATACAATATGAAAGACATAAATATAAATAAATATATATATATATATATATATACGTATATAAAGATATTTACAACACTTCGTTTAATAACTTTAATATGTGAAATAAAGAATAAAACAAATAGGTAAATAACAACACAAACTTTTCATTTAGAATATAAGTTTATTGTTAAATATACTCTGAATAGAAATTTGAATTTTTCCGTAAATTATATAATTCAGAACATAATATATTTTGAACAAATAATTTTTACTATCTGATTCTAATATTCAAGACTTCGCGGTTTTAAATAATTAGTAAGATCAAGAAGGCATTATTTAACTTTAAACAAGGTAATTGTAGGAGCTATTTCAATTTATTTATTGACTCTTATTGAAAGATACCTCTTGATTGAATATTAAATTAAATAAATATTAGACTTTATCGGTGATCATTACATAATGATTGATAGATATAAGATTTTGAATCTTTATTATTCCAAGTAATATATATATATATACATAAGTAATACAATACTTCTGCTTTAAAATTTATATCAATTAAATGCAAATGTGTGTTTCTTCAATGTTGATCACTAATACAATTATCTCATTATTTTATACTATTATATTGTTACACTACATTATACTACTATATTATATATTTTTATTATATTAAATTATATTACTACAGTACATTATATTATTACAATATTTTCACGAATCATAGGCACAGCGGCTGAAAGGATTCGCATATTTCTTTCATTAGGTTTTATTTTTTTGCAATGGACTTGTATTTTTCTTTTTACCATTATTATTTGATATTATTGTTTCTATTTGATAACATTAATGTCTATAGATAATATGGTCTTTTTTTAATCTTAATATTGAGAATTATATTTTCATTATACATTATATTATTATTGTTATATGTTTTCAAGTTCTTTGTTCAAAAGGTATCTTCTATTATATTCTAATTGTAATCATACTATATCATATTATGATTCCTTAGGGCTAAAAATTAGAAAATTCATTTTAAAAAGCAATAAAATTTCATAAGTTATTATTATCATATCATGGATGAATATTAAATAATATTCTTTAAATGTTTATTAATGAAACAATTGATTTAATTCTTAATTACAATTTGAATGTTACGTAATATTATTACTATTAATAAATTATTATATAAAATAATTACCTAAATGCCATATCATATACAAATATACTATCTTCATTATTTTTTTTTAATATAGCGTTCATTATTTTAACGTTTGATTAGTTATTACAAAATCAAATTTTTATTAAATAAATTTTAAGTAAAAAATATATGATAATAGATTGTTCAAGCCAGTAAAATATCTTTTTACTTTGTGAATTTTCTAGTTTATATTTGAAGATAATAGTGGAATTAATTCGTTGTAAAGTTGTAAAAATAATTTAGATTGAACTTTTCAATTTTCAATTTAATCTGCTTATTTACATACTGATAATTTTTTTCAATATTGAAAATTGGATCCCTCTCGAGGGAATGGATTAAATGCTTTGGAATTATGAAAAATAAGATTTTTTCCATCTATATTTTTTATTTTTACTTATCTAATTCACAATGAACGAAATTTCATGGCTTATGGATTTAATAAAAATATTATATGTGTTTTAATAAAAATGTAATGTATTAATTTCATTATGATTAGTATATAATATATTTTTAATTTGCTATTTTGACCTTATTTTTAACTCTTCATTCATACTTTCACTTTAATATTACGTTCTCTTTTTCGTATCTTTTACATTTTCTTTTTTCATTCGCGTATTTTCATTCTTTTGTATTTCCTTTATCTTATCATCTCTAATTATTTATATTTTATCAAGTATTTCTCCAATTTCATTTTACAAACCAATCTTTAATATAAGTAAATAAAATAAGAAATAGTATTAAAACAAGAATACTGATATTTAACTAGTATAGGATGTTGCTGTATCTCTGTAATTATACAATAATAAGATATGATATCATTATTTGATTGTGATGCTCAAACATTGTACATTTAAACAGTACTGAGTCTGTTGAAAATTGAAGAAATAATATAAATGGTCAGTTTTTTGTTTCTTGCACATTCTTATGTTGGAGTAAAATGCATGGAAGCTACGCGACAAATTTTAAGCAAAACGGCGAGCGCGCGATTTCCCCCACTGTAGCGAAAGCTGATTCCAATATAATATTTAGGAAAGTGCTCATTTATTGCACAGAATCAGTGCCGGAGACATTGCTTTCCGTTCGTAGCTTTAATTCCGCAGATGTGCTTTAGAAATAATAAAATTTTGATTTCTGTACACGCTATTTGCATCATGCATTTTATTTTGTGTTCCGTATCGGGGAATCAACTAAAGTGAAAGTGTAATCAGATTCAACATTGAAAGCATTAAGTAAATAGCACTCGGCCTCCTATGTATTTATTAAATTAAACGGGAATATAAACAATTTGTATAAATTAAATACAGCTATGAAAGTTTTGTGGATATTTATTGTATGTTTTAGTTTTCATCTGTGGCAGCATGCAGTTTCTGCTGGTGCTCGTACGTAGTTTTCATGTTCTAATACAGATGAAAGCAAATCTTAAATGGAAATTTTTAAAAGAGAAAATATTTAATTCTAGTCATTTCAATTATACACATGTTATAAGTATCATTAACTTAATTTAATCAAATTTTGCATATCGAAAAAATCATCATTCTGTTTTTTTTAAATATTTAAAACTTAAAAATATTTAATTTATTAATTATTCTTTTTAAGAAATTCTATTTGTATTAAATGTATACAAAATAATTCTTCATTATTAAATGTACAGAATAAATATTTTATTTCTTAAGGTAATATTTAAATATAAATTCTTACATTCTATAAAAGTAATTAAATTGTTGTATTAAAAATATCGTTTAGTATTTTAAGTATGAAAAATACTTTATTCATGGAAACCTTTTTTAGGTTTATAAAATTTAAATAAATATTGTTTACAATTGCACTGAGCCCGTGTAATTATTTCTGTTTTTAACATTGTCGCTCTGACTTTAATTCGACATGTATCGAATCGCTCAACCATCATTTTCTAATAAAATTAATTTCAAAAAGAGTAAACTAATTTTGATAATCATGTTGATGTAAATATTTTAATATATTAAACGTAAGTTCAGGAAGAAAGTTACCATATAATGCGAAACACAGTAATAAATGTGTTATAATATAAATTGTTAGATAGTATTTTTTAATGAAATTTTGTTTTATTATTTTCAATTGAAGATACACATTAAATTAAAGTTAAAGAAAAATAAATTATTTGATACTTTGTTTATTCAGTATGATTATCGTAATTAGATAAAATTAATAATTATAAAAAAATATATTATTACTTTTGCTTAAATTATTAGAAAGTTTTAAATTTATGTCATATATATAAGATTTCATAAAAATTTGAAACGATACAATAAGATGTTAGATAATTTATGTAATAACTATGATTATCTTTTATATTTTCATACAGAATAATCTCAATAAATATATCAAATTATTGTCTTAATTTTGCTTTATTATAAAAGATATATTTTGCGATATAATATTGAATTTCCATTTGAATGAAAAAATTCGATTTAGAATTTAATAATCTATGTAATAAAATTATATTAAATTCATTATAATATAGTTAACAATATTTTTTATATTATCAGAATAATTTGCTTTTATTCATTAAAGACTATTGTAAACAAAGACACAAATAAAACATCTCTTTATCAATGGTAGATTAATTGTATTTTAATCTTTTTATGTATTGAAATCTGAAATATACCTTATAATAAAATAAATATTAAATAATCAAATGTTTCATTTTAAATCAATGCATTAAATATTTTTCTAAATTTAATACATTAATTTATTTAATACATTTCTTTAATAATTTAATACACTGGGTAAAATAATGAAATAAAAATAATAACATTTAAATATTATCGTTATTATTATATGTAAACGCAATAATAAAATTGAGAATGTTTCGATTTAAGAAATTGAGGGCAATCACAGTATTCAAGCGGATAATGATTAAAATATTAAGTTATTAAAGTTTGTTATACGAATCTAATGGAAATATATCCATAAAAATCTTAAACAGAATAAAAAAATTATCATTTGTTATCCTTAATTTATTTTTTATTTATAACTAAGTAAAAATTATTAAAAATATGAATCTTAATATACTATTTACTCGAATAGATTGTTATTATTATGTTTATCTCTTGTATAGGCTTCATACACTTGAAGCAAAAAAAGCAAAGAACATAAAATTTTTACGAAATTTAATATGTACTTATATTCATAAAAATAATTCCCTTATATAATAATTTTATATTATTTGTATATATATACAATTGTTGAAAATTTATTTAACATTTAAATGATTAAATATTTTGTCCATAATATTATGTATAATTATATGTCAGTTTTCATTCAACATAAATATTTAATAGTAAAATTTTGTACAACGACCAAAAGACAATCTAGAACCAATGATGTATTATTAAGAAAATGTAAAGAATTAAATGACAATTTTAATGAAATTGTGTGCCAAATTGCGATCGACCGGTAAATATATTTCATTTAATTGATATAATTTGCTATTTTATCTACAATTTTTTACTTTATAATTTATTAATTTAAATATAATTGCAGTCTTACATGCTTAAAGATGTTATCTGCAGGATTAGCAGATTTTACCATATTAGAACCTGAAGATTTATCTATTACAACTATGAGTATTATTGACAGCAGTAACATTTTAGTAACACATGAATTAAAAATGTTTTCTGAAAGTTAGTTTAATAATTTAATTCAGATTAAAATATAATAGTTTTTATTAAATCTTAATGTCAAGTGATATATATTTTTATTTAAACTTTTTATTACCGTTAATATTTAAAGAATTTTATTTTAGATAAGCCACAATATGATTTGGAAATGATCGCAATTGTTAAAAATAATTTTGACAATACGTGGGTCACCAAAGACAAAAAATTATGTTATATTGGTTTTGAAACTGGTTACAAGCCAAATTATCAATATCATTATACATCTGCAAGTATCATATTCGTTTAGGATTTATTTAATTGCATTTAAATATAATAAAAAATGCTCTTATTTTTAATTCTTTTAGTACTTTGAAAAATGGCTTATAAACAAAAACTGTGATCCAAAAAAAACATTAATTGAGAATCGAATTGCAGATATTTCTTATCACTTCGAATCGGCATGTATTGCTGGACCGTGGACACTCGATGCTGCATACGATGGCATTTTAAGTAAGTTCGAGTATTAATATTTAGATTAATAACAGATGCCGTAGTGAGTGAATGGCAAATATAAATACGAGTACAATATTTTTTTAGAGTCCAAGTATAAAAATCTGTGCGCACTTTGCGGTAGTCCATCTGGTTGTTACGAAGGCGATAGATTCTATGGGATGCAGGGTGCAATATCCTGTTTATTGGAAAATGTTGGTGAAATTGCATGGCTTAGTAGAAGTATCGCAGTGCCATATTTTGCGGTACGATGTAGAAATGTGTAAATTCACAATAATTTTATTTTAGAGTATTTTAGTGTAGACCATTTAAGAGGATAAACTTTATATCTAATTATAAACAGAAATATATTATTTTTTGAAGAAATAATCTGCTTGCATATACTTATTCAAATACTGTGTGTAATAATAATCAGCAATCGATATTTTTAGATGAACGCGAATGCATGATTTCAATTTTTAGAGATACTTTTTCAATATTCCGTAATAAATTAAGGTTGTTGTTTCTTATTTAATACCAGTGAGAAAATAAGTTTTTTTTTTTTTTGTTAAAATTTTACTGATAATACGTTATTTTTAAACTAATTTACAAAATTTTTTTTTAAAAATTATTAGCAATTGAAACTAATGATAGAAAGTTTCTTTTTAAATTTAAAATTTTTTATTTAATGAATTTTGGAATTTCTTGATTAACGAATATTTTCATTTTTGTTAAAGAAAGTATTACAATGCAAAATTTAAATTTAATTATTATTATACGAAAAGCCAATTTTAAAAAAATAACTCTTTTAAATTTGGCTATAGAATAAATACTGAATTATTTAGCAATTTTTGTTTAAAATTAAAAATAGTTAAATAGTACTTTCTTTTATAGAAAATATTTTTGAATGTATAATTTAATTTTGAAATTATTATAATAAAAAAACTATTTACGCTTAAATTAAATGCAAATCAATTTTATATAAATGTATTTATAGAATGTAAATATTTCTTGTTAAGAACTATCTTACAGAAAACTACATAGAATCTATGTACTACAATATATGATTTTAATATAAATTTCAATTTCAATTTTAATCTCTATAAATGGTAGAGAAAATAATAAACCATAATAGCTCGAAAAAGTTTATAAAACATAAATAAGTACATAAAAATAAAATTGTTACTATTTTTAAATATTTTAAAAAATTTTTGTTTTATCCGTGGTTTTTATGCTATTTTTTTTTTATCATTTGTATTATACATTTGTTATTTCGTAAACTGTTAATATTTTGTATTTAATTATTTAAAAATTGACCGTACTTTTAAAATACTGTTAGAAAAATTATTTTATAAATAATAAAATTATTTTAAAAATTTGTAGACGATAAAATTGTTAAGTCTTTTATTCGTGGTAAAGTAACCGTAGCGAATAATATTGAAGATATTTTCTCTTTCGCGTCTTAAATAATCATAAAAGATAATATTCTACCTTGAGAAAAGCTAAATTTTGCATATCACGACGTGTTTTCTTTTTCTTGTAGAGCTGCTCTTGGTTGAATTAACGTTGAACTTGAATTAACGTACTGTTTGTCTTTTTACATTTAGTAACTTCAATACCAGTCCGGCAACAACTTTTACTTTAGAAGTATGATTTTAAAGAAAATAATAATACATTTACATGTATATAATATTGATATATACAAATATTACCTCATTTATTTAAATTTGTATTTACTAATTAAATTTTTGAGTTAAATAAAAATTTACTTCTTTCCGTAATATAAATTACAATTTATTTTGTTCAAATTATTGTGTTTTTCTTTTAGGAAATGTCATCTTATGGTTTTAGTCTTCTTTGTCCCGATGGAATGTTTATTCCACTTTCTGTAAATAAAACTTGTACTTGGATTACTGAACCCCGACCAACCATAGTAGCAAGAAGGTAAAATAGTACTATTGTAATATTATCATAGAATAGTATTGTATAAATACATGTAAATATTATGTAAATATGTGTAGTAATTTTTAATTACTTTATGACTTTATATTACTTTATAGGTAAGTTAAATAGGTATATTTATAATATTAAAAATTAACAGTCATTGTTAGGAGAAAGGAACTTTATAATTGCCAATTACCTTATAATTTCTATATATCCGTATATAATTCTATATTTCTTGCGTTTTCAAATTTTATTGAAAAATTATACAAAGAATTAATATATATGAGCCATAAATATTAATTCATTAATTCTATAATTTGAAATACTTTTTATAATACATTTGCAATTATATTTTTAGTAAATTAATACATCGTCGTATATTTAAACAGTGCGTCAATTTTTATCGATTTATTTATTATAGTGAAGTCGCCGATCGTGTTTTAAAAAGTATAACAGATATGGAAAGAAGTGGCAAAGCATTTTATTCAATTGTTCATGCTTCGTACAAGTTTTCACATTTGAAAAATGTTGTACCAGCATTAATACCTGAAGAATATATGAGAAGTTGTAAGCATCATTTTACATATTTTTCATTCAGATTAAGAACATAATAAATTAAATATTGATCAATGCTTTACTTTATTCTTCGTTAATAATGATAATCTCTTGTTACTCACGTTATTATAAAAATTAAAAATAGCAGATAATACTTTGTTAATGTAATTAGTGAATTAAAATAATTTAATGTACTTTTCCTGATTTTACTATAAACAAGAGAGTTTATACAAAGGCATAAATTAATTAGACGTTTAGAAAATAAAATTTATATCAACGAATTAGTTATTTTTATATTATCATTAGATTTATTAGATTTTACAAGCGACTCGTATTATATATATATATATATATATATATATATAATCCTAATGAAATTATAATAATAGATAATTGATTATAAATCTATTTTACATCAAATAAGTTTAAAATTAAAATAAACTTATCTATAACGTTTTATAACACTTATGCTCTATACAAATTTTATAATTCTGTTCAAAGTCCAAGGTTACTTAAGCTCGAAAGTGCATTCGTACTGTCCACCAGATAGAACAGTTCGATGGTGTGTTTCCTCGAATATTGAGGCCAGTAAATGTGGTTGGATCCAGGCAGCAGCATTAGCAGTTGATATACAACCAAAAATTTCTTGCATTCAGCAAAAAGATAAAAAATCTGCAATTCAAGCAATCGTAGATGATCGATGCGATGTTTATATTGCTAAACCGGAGGAGGAATTAAATGCAAGAAGGTCTTTAAATTTTATTCTATTAGTCATCGTCTTTGTAATAATGGCATTTTTAGCTTACAAGAAATGAATTTGTAGAAAATTAAATTTTTTATTTTCTGTGTTAATTGGCAATATGTCAATGGTGAACAATATTTATATTTTTGTTTTAATCAATATGATAAATACTATTTGATTTAAAATTTTAACAGATATTATAATTTTATTTAATTATGAAAAATTTAATACATCTTTTCAATATTGCAGTATGAATTTAACTCCAATAGCTCACTTAATTTCGAATAAAGATTTGGAAGCGAATAGATTTGCTGCTATTGTAAAGAAAGATGCTAAATTTAAAAATTTAAATGATTTGAAGGGTTCAAACGCTTGCTTTACAGGATACAAAAGCGTAGGTAAGCATGAAAAATTTACACAAAATTGCTTTTATCTTTCTATTTCTTATTATCGATTTGCATCATCTTACATGCGTCATGGTCACTGGAATACATATAATTGATTCCAGAGTATATAATTTGTAATTGAACAAGTATTAGCATATTAATAATGTAAATTAATAAAAATTCATGTTTACATTAATATTTGTCTTATATTTATAAAATTGCATCTAATATTTAATAATAAAAATTGAATTAATTTTTTATCTTATGATGTCTAACTAAAATTTTTCTATGAATTTTCAGATTCTTATAAGCAAAAATAAAATTTTAAATTATATAAATAAAAATTAATTGTACTGTCATTTTATGTAATAGGTTGGAATTCTTTTTTCACTATATTAAGAAATAGTTCTTCTCGTTGGGATTGTTCGGATGCCAAAGCAATGTCGCAGTTTTTCAATAGAAGCTGCGTTTATGGTCTTAGTGAAATGAACACCACAATTCCGAAAAATTTGTATTCTCTGTGCAATTCCAGTTTTATAGATAAGAGTTTGGGACCTGAGGAAAATACTTTCAAGTGTTTAATGAATGGAGGCGATGTTGCTTTTGTCAATGTGAGCGCAGCAAAGAAGTATTACTCCGGTACAATACTAATAATACTTTAATATCATATCCTACTTTAATATCATTAATTACATTTTATAGTTTTATTTGCTTATATATTTATATTACACCAAAATTAATTAAAAGTATTTAATCATTGTTCGGTATTCAAATGCTTTTCTAATATTTTCGAATATTTCTAATGATATTATTATTAATTATTGTATTATAACAAGTAAACATTTTGTAATTTTAAAATGATAATTTAGTTAATTTAAATTTAATTTTAATTTGGTTATATGAATGTAACATGATGGCTTTGTTTTACAAAAACAAGAAAATAAATATAATTTCATAAATGATTCCATGTATGAAGTATTAAGGATGAAATATTAAATTCTATTTATATGCATGTAATATTATTTTTGATAACAACTGTTAAGAAAATATTGTTTAGTTTGTATAAAAAAAAAATACTTAAAAATACTAGTCTAAAAATATAAATACTTAACGAAATTACTTTTATAATAAATATATTTTGTATAGAATTTCTATATAAAATGTTTTCTTAAATTCAGTAAAGTTAAAAAAATTGGATGATTTTTTAAAACTAGAGACTTTCTTTTTGTTTGCCAAGGTCCTTTTTAAGAAATCGATTAATTTTAACTGATCTACATTATTTCAAAATTGAAAAAGTTTTTCACTATGACTTTCATTTTTATTTTCCCGTTTATTTTGCCTATTGAGCGTTATATAGTTATAGTTGTTATTAACTAAATCAATTAAATTATTAAATTTATAAACATTCAATACATCAACTAAATTGAAACCAGGGATATTAATTTTTAATATAGTTTCTTCAGTTTCTTTAGCATTACACTTTTTACATTACATAACATTTCTTTGACACTTACAAATAATATATTTTTCAAAGAATTTAATTTTAATTTAAAATATGATTTTTTATTTATTAAATTATCTATTATTTCACTATACATTTTTATGATACATTTTCACGAACTCAGCAGAATAACATTAATAACAGTAATTATAATTTCGTCGACGGTATTTTAGAAAATGTCAGAGGAAAATCATACAATAGCGTAAAATTAAAACTAATGAATATTTATTCAGCTAATATTCAATTATTAATTTTAATTATTTTAAATACTTATATCCTTAAAAAGATTTAGCAATTTTTTTTATTAAATGTTTAATGTTTTTCTACTAGAATTTTCAATTTTCTATATGAACTATAAAATTCTTTGTCAAGATGAAACGAATAAAAGTGAAGAGCCATGTTTTCTAGTTGAAACTACTTTAGGATCGGTAAAATATTGTTTAATATATTTATAAATTCTTTTAAATATTTTTATCTGATAAACACATCTAAAATAACTCAAATTATGTACAGATCTTAGCAAGTAAGAATATTACACAAGTAAGAAGAGAAGAAATTTACTTGTTGTTTTTGTCTCTTGATCGATTTTTTGGAAATATTTATGATCGTGAAACTGCTATGTTCACATTATATGGTCCTTACGAAGGGCATTCAGATATTATATTTCCAGTAAGTATGAACTACACATTATTATTATTTTTCTTTTTTTAAAAATTATTTTCATTTAGTAGTAGCTTCGATTGGCTATATAAAAAATATAGATTTTTTGTTGAAACTTGATCAAGTATTATTTTAATAATTATTAATTATGCATATTATAATAGTTATTTTTATATTCATTTAATAAATAAAATAAAAGAAAACGTTTATATTAATATATGTAGGATAAAACACAGCATCTTCAAAAACACGTTGACGATCGTCGTCGAGGTCAAACATATGAAGAAATCTTGGAAAACCTTCAGGATAAAGTTATTTGTGGTTTATCCAGTAATTCATCCTTGAAAAGCAGCATATCCTTCTTAACATTTATGATTTTTCATGCGATATGGACTTTATCTGCCTAGTCATCCAATGGTATTATAATGTTATTTATTGTTGATGTACTTTTCAAAGTTAGAAGAGTAAATAAAAATTAAAAACATGATAACACTAATGTTTAGGTAATCTATATTTTATCGTAAATATCGATTAAGATGGATAAATTTATATTTCAAACACATTTTTATTTATAAATTGTTTATTTTAATTTTTGTGATTTAAAAAGCTATTATTTACATACATATCAGTGCATTCCAATTATGATATTATTAAAATATTTCCTGTAATAAAAATAATAAATATTTCTTTTTATATTAAATACATTAAATTAAAATAAATACTTAGTCATATATTCATAACATAAAATAGAATTTACATCATACATTCTTAAATATAATAAAATATCTTTATTTTATATTAATACATAAAGATAATATCTACTATTATCTATATTAGAAGAAAATTATTGTTTGAATATATAAATGTGATTTATTTTGAATTTATTTCATAAATTCAAATGTTGCCGACATGAAAGTCCATTTTTAACACGTACTTATAATTAATTATTTTCTAAGTTTTTTCAAAATTAAATGATCTATATTATGTAAAAACCATGAACATATAACTAACTGCATCTTGATATTTTTGCTTATTTTTCAAAGGTTTTTGAAAAACAATAATAGTTTTATTTTCATAGGTTTCTTTAATTTAATTATCAATGTAATTTGTTTTATTAAATATTTTTTTATATAATTGTATGTAAATTTAAGGTACGAGTTTGGACGGATTGTTATTATAAGTTACTAGATTGTTATACTAGGTTTTGGTAACATTATATATTTTAAATGAAATTGTACTTTGGCCATTTGATAATTGTAATATGTTCCCTTTCGAGCTTAGTGATATTACTTCTTATTACCTTTTCTTTCAATACAAACCTAAACTGAAATATATTATATTTAAATTTAATACTAAAATGGAGTATTTAATAAAAAAAATTTTTTTTTTTAAACAATTCTTAAACATTATTATAGTTATATTTAAAGTTAATAAAATAAAAAGTTCTAACTATTCTATATTTATATATTATATCTTGTGTAAGATTATAAGTTTTTTTAATATGAAGTTAAATTAAAACTAAATTAAAAAAGATTGCCATTTAACTATCTATAATAAGGAACTATAAACTATAAACCGGAAGAAAAATGCAATTTAGAATTATAAAAATGAAACGTAATTTAAAAAGGTTTTCATTTCTTGAAGAAAATCATCTTGTTTTGAATAAAAATTTTTTTTGAGTTTATGAACCTCTACATTTCCTGTGTCAGTTCCGAGAGCCTGTAAATAAAATTTAGATACAATTATTATTATTTAAATCAAGAGTAGTTGAAATTTACCTTATAAAATTGTTATCAATGTTGCTTACCAAATATTGATTTAACATATCACGATTTGTATGACATGGTGATAGTTTCATGCACTTGACGTAACCCCAACTTTTAGTTGAAACTGTACGTGTTGGATAAATGTCGCTATTACTTAGATCCCACATAATAATTCTGAAAATTATTTTATTTTAATAATCAACATAGACCAAATATTACTGATAAATTTTATTAAAATGTACAAACCTTGAATAATTATCTAGAACATATATAGTCATTGGTTTGGATTTCGACCATTGAATGCATTTTATTCCTGCAGGACAATTGTCTTCTTTTAATTTCAAAATTGGTTTTTCTACATTTAAGGCATGTAGTCTAATACTACCATCTGTACATCCAGCCTATGTAAGAATTCAAAAGTATTTATATAAATTTCTTTGTAACAATATTTTTTATTTTATAAGAATTACGTATACGCACAAAGAAATAAGACTGTTTAAATGGACAAACTTCTATACATGTTGTGTTACCACAAGAATCTTTAAAAAAAAAAGAATATTATTGTTAAAATTCTAATAAGTATTATAATATTAAAAACATTTAAAATAAATTACCCATTTCATTTATTCCATAGTAGGGTATATTATTTTTTCCACCCATATAATTGGTGTATAAAATATTGATGTCATTAGTTGCTAAGTATAAATTATTACTATCTACGTTATCAACATTCATGTCGATAAATTCTTTTTCAATATTATTTGATTCATTTCTTTTTACAAACAAAGACAGTTCTTGACTTTTGATTAATTTCACTTTTCCCCATTGTGCTAAGCCATTATCATTGGAGTTGGCATTGAGATTGCGTAAGACACTCCAAATAATTAAATGTCCTTCCTCATCTAAACTGCAAATTTGAATCGAGACGAATTTCTCGTTTAAATTTTCTATCTCATCTTCTTCCATTTTAGATATAATTCGAATCGAAACTATAGGAGCCAAATGAGATCCAATTTCCCAATTTCCTGCTGTAGTATATGTTGGATTTCGAATAATCCAATTCAATTCATTAATTTTATCGAATATTTTTGGATGATGTATTTCTTCTTCTTGTAAATCCCAAAGACTAATCGAACTACAAGAATTTAAACTTAATTATTCAATACAATATCAATATAATAATGTTTTTTTTTATTTTTTTAAATTTTATTCATTTGTCGATATAATATTACTTTTATTATTAATTATATTACAAATAAAAATGTATAATGAATTGAGATTGAAAAATTTATAAGTTGTTTACAATTTAATCAAGTATGGAAATAATAAATATTTTAATCGTTACAATAATTGAAAATTTTCCATAGTTATTGATTATGTATTTTAATATCGCATAAAAATCTAATTTTATTTTTCTTAAAAATCGAAATTATTAGCTTTATTGGAAAATGAAAAAGAACAATAACTTACCCATCTTGAAGTCCTGCAAATACAATATTATTATTTGTATAATGAAAGCAACAAGCCGTTATTGGACTTTGCGAGTAAAAAAGTTTTGTAGGCCTTGATGGCTCATTTATATTCCATACACAACCAATGCAGCAGTTCATTATGTATTCATGTTTACTTAAAGGATCTATTGCCTGTTATTTTTAAAAAAAGTAAAATTAATTTTCATATATCATTAATTTAATATTTATACACTAAATACGAGTTTTTATTTTACTTCATTGACTGCAGCATGGACACTCATAAGAATTTTATTATTTATTTCTGAATAATGCAGCATCGTAACTTGCCTACCACATAGAAAAGATAATGAACTAACTGAAAGCTTAATAAATCCTTCACTGAAAGGAAATTCATGAGTTTCGCGTTGAAGAATATTTCCTCCCATTTCCCTTTCTTCCAAAAGAGCTAACATAAGTTTTCCTACTTTATTTAAAAATTCATTAAGACTTAATAAATCATACGATGTACTAATTAATGATATATTATTAGATTTATCTCCACCAACTCCAAAATGTTCCATTTTAAATAGTTTTACATCTTCAATTGTTTCTAATTTATTTCTACATTTAACTGGATATTGTGTCCATTTATTTTCCAATTCATTTTCATCAGTTTGAGTTTCTACATCAAGATTATCTTCATTTGTTTGTGTAGATATCTAAAATCATGTAAACATTTCAAAAATATTTTCAGGTATAATTGTTAAATTAAAACTAGAAAATTAAACCTGTCGAGTATTAAATTTGCCATAATTCTGGATAAATTCATCATACGATATTGGTTTTGATTCATATAATGACCATTCAACTGTATCTAATTTGATCATATTCATTAATACTTCACCTCTACTAAGGACTTTTTTTAATGGTTCCTAATTTAATTTTGAAGTAAAGTTAAAAAATTAAATCTTTAATAAATAAATACATCTAATAAAAAGAAATATATATATATATATATATATATATGAACATAAAATTATAGTATTTACAATGGAATTATAATTTAAATATTTAATTGTTATTTAATTTTAAAATAATCAGTAGTCACTGATTATTCATAATAATATATTATTATTATGTTCTATTATTATTATATTATATTATTCATAATAATGAATAATATAATAATGAATAATATAATCATAGATGATAGTAGTGTTATTTCTTATTATACCTTAACTACTTTTTCTTGATTGGAATTTTTAAGATTTTTATGATTAATTTGTGACATTGGTGGAGACTTTATGAAATCACCCGAGCGAGCATCCTCAAAACCTTCATCAGTTGATGATGGTAAAGATTTATTTCCTGACTGTTTTTCTTCCCTGATATATAAAAAAATAGATTTTAATGTTTTTTATATTTAGTGCTATTTATAACATACCTATAAGATTGATTAATTGTTTGTTTCAGTTCTGAACCAGATGGTGGACTTTTCAAATGATTTGCCATTAACATATCTACTATCGCAGCTCGTCGTTTTGCCTCAGCTAATTCATAATGGCCAGAATCTAACATATGTTCTTCTTCGCCTTTGCGTATATCTGCACTATTAATTGCTGTTTCCTAAAAATAAAGATTAATTTTGTATTGCTTATTATTTATTTAAAATAATAATTGATTTAACCTTTTTTTTACTATGCAATTCAATAGGTTCTAATTGAATAATAGAGGTACTGTTATCTGACGTTTCACTGATTTGGGAAGCACTGCAATATTCTTCAAAATCAGATTCATAATCCTAAATAATAAATACTCATTATAATATTTCATATTTAAAGTACAAAAGAAATATAAATACAATTTATTTATAACAATAAATTTTGTAAATTTATCCAATATACAATATTTAATTTTATAATTAATAAAATAAATGAATTTCTATTCTTCAATCTTCAGCTTATATTTAAGATTTACCTAATATAAAATAATTAACAGCTCTTTGATTAAATTTATTTTATATATCATCCTCATATTTATATATAAATTTATTATTTAATTATTATTTGACATTATTAATTATTATAATTTAATATATTATATACCTCAAAATCATCTTCATAATTATATCTACTATCGGGATCATCTTCATAATTATATTTATCATTAGGATCGTCTTCAATATGCTTTTTCTCTTCTTTTTCATTTTTAGTTGAATTTTTTGTCTCTAATGTGTCGTCTGTTATATGTAAAACTTTTACTTCGCTTGGACTTAAGACTCTAGATCTTTTTCGCTCTCTTGAAGAATGCCTTGGCAATGGTTTTTCAACATTTTGAAGAGTAGGTTTGTCTTTGGCTTGTTTAGAACTAGATGACTTAGATGTACGATTTAATTTATTAGTAATATTTTCTGGATTATAAATATAACTTGTTCCTCTCTTTTCATTATATTGTGATTCAATTTTTTCTTTAACACTTTTTTGAACATGAACTTTTTTAATATCATTAATAACCAATTTAGTATTACCATCAGTTTTTTTTCTAGATGTAAGTAACCTTTTTGTACTAGATGACGTATTTGAAGATACTTCAGAATTTGATTTTGCTTTTAACAGGACATTTTCCTTCTCTTGTTTTGATTTTGATGGATTTTTATTCAGCAAAATATTTTTGTCGACTAAAACACTTCTAGTTTTTAATTTATCTTTAGTAGTTTTTAAATCTATCATTTGTGGTACTTCTTTCTTTTCCCTTTTCAATGTTTTTTCATTCGACTGATCAATATTCTGATTTACGGTATGCGTTTTGGATTTTAGTGTAGTTTGACTTTTGAGTTGATTGCCACTTGCTATTGTCTTTTTTATTGCGCCCTAAACATTAAATAAAATGCGATTAATATTTAAAATTGAACATTTTTGGAAAATATATAGGAATGAGTGCCATTGACTTAATATAAACTAGGTTACTCGTGATTTAAATATTATAATTTAAATATTATTTTAACATAATTATCGCGAATTTAGGAATTTTAAAAATATCTTATTATAATTTATTTAAAAAATTATTTTTTGAATACCTTATTCGACATTATGTATTTAATCGATTTATTGTTTTAGCAGTTGTGAGGGACGCCATGACGTTAAAAAAAATAGAAAACACAACACAGCAGTTATATATTACACACAAATGCACATATATGCACTTGCGTATGTGAGCAAATGCGCTACCGCGACGCAATTAATCAAGCACTGCTATTGAAACTTTGTAATATTAACAATCACACAATGTAATTTAATGTAACAAATGCATAGCCTCATTATTAAAATCAATGAATTTCATTCACAATCATTTTATAAAAAATAATTACATCAATACATTTTTTAATCGAGATAATTAAACTTCTTATCCTATAATAAAAAGTGTATCCAAATGGAATGTATTTAATTTGTTTTACTACAAATATACGTATGTGTGTGTATATGTATGCAATTTTTAATATAAAATTTAATTAAATTTAAATCAATATATTTTATTAATCCAAAATTAAAGCTATATTTTTATGTTCTATTGCTACATTATTGTTTCATTATCTTATTTAAATATAATAGAATAAGTTCATTCGATAGAATTTATCTTCAATATAAAGCATTTTAAAATCTAAATTACGATTCAAAAACAAAATTTTGACATTCCATGTTGTGCTGTTTTATTTATGTATCAAGAAAACTTCACACTTGTTTTTGTATACGTTAAATCGTTACGTCAAAATTAATAAGTGATAAAGTTTATTTTTGAATAGGACATATTATTACGTATTTTAGTATAAAAAATTTAAATTGTACAGTGTATAGTGATCGATATAATGAAAACGACTTCGCATTATCGTGGTCCAAAACGTGTTCGAATTCAAACTGGTCATGAAGCAAGGTTTATTGAAAAACGAAATCCATATCAAAGTTGTGCGAAAAAATTCAAAGTAAATGTATTAAAAACAATTATAAACGATTTATATATTTTTTGCGTTAATTGCTTAAGACATACTTATTTTTAAGCAGAAGTATTTATTTTGAAAACTAATATCTCTGTTGTAATATCTCATTTAATTTTATATTCACTCACTAGTATTGTGTATAAAAGGTATTACAGTTAATGTATATAATATAAAATAATTTTACGTTTTTTTTTTCTTAATATGACTTACAGTTTTATATTCATAATTTGTATTCTCATTAGATAGGGTCTAATTAGACATATATTTCAATTGCAGTAAGTATAGATTTAGCTGTAATCATATATCTGATTGAAATATAAATATAAATATAAATAGTTTATAGATAAATTTCGAAATAGGAAATTGAATAAAATAAATTTTGAATTGAATAAATAAATTTTTCAAGCATCAGCTAAATATTGTTATTTATAATTATTAATATGAACTATAATTTGTATATATATATATATATATATATATATATATATAAATAATGTTATAAAGTAACACGTTAAATTCCCTTATAATTCGAAGAAAATACAAAAATTACTATTTTAATACATAAAATATTTCAACTCTTAATAATTTTTAATGAATATTTGATAAAATTTTAGGGAACGCATAAAATTCTTCAAAAAGACCGAGCGGGAAAGATCGCGTGGGATAAAACACACAGACCATCAATTTCTGAATTGGTATACCGATACCTAGAAAAAGAATCGAATCGTGAAGTCATTGATATGCAAAAGAATAATGCGACCAAACAATTTCGTAAATTTCATCGGCGTAAGTACCTCAAGAAATTAGCCTCAAATGTTCGTAAATCGCCACATAAAACAATGAAGAATGAATCATTTAATTCCATACCCTGGAAGCCAGAAATGTTTTCCCAATGGAAGAAATGGCCCAAAAAAGGTTAGTATATACGTAACATATTATTTACATTTACATTCCAAATTTACACAGTAAAATGATGATTTATTGGATAATTCTATGGATATATTTTATGTGAAAATACATAAATATGACTGCTATTATTAATATAATCATATTATAGTAAAATACTTGCAAAATCAAATTTATAAGTAATATTATATTTCTAAATGTTTTAAAAATATCTCCTAATTACTGGTGCAATTGTGTCAATAAATACTAAAAATCTGATTTTAAGTGCGGCAGTTATAAATTATTATAAGAAAATGAATAAACATTTGAAATAAAACACTTTTTCAATACATTATTTTAATATATAGTTCAGATTATTATTTTACAAATAAAATAACATGTTGACAATTAATTATATTATTACTTGTTATAATTCAATATAAATTGTAGTTTAATTTTAATTATACAATAGCTATGTAATCATATTGTTTTTGTATTACAAAATTGAGAAAGTTAAATATTTAAATAAAAATATTTTTATATTTTCAAATTTCTAATATTTTATTTTTTAGTTGTACCAATTTCAATAATATAGTATTTTATATTAAAATGGAAACACATTAAAACATGTTGTTATGCTGTATTAAATATATTTCAAATACTCATATTAAAATTATATTTTGATATATATATATATGTATATCTTATTTTAAAATATTCGAATTCAAATGTTAGAATTTATTTGATGTCAAATATGTTTAAATCATAAACAATGTGTTAATAATATTTTTAAAATGCATTTTCTGAATAAAGTATTTTAAAAAATTTTGTATAGAGAATCGTTTTATATATTCATTAAAATAAGTTTAAATAACACAAACTAATATAAAATTCTCCAAAAAATTTATAATTTATACAGGTCATGATAAGATAACATCATGTATCTTAGAGTTTTTGTATTTTGCAACTGTTTTCGGACTCTTAGAACCAAAGGATGAAAAAGGAGTTATATTTCGTATCAATTCAAATATTAATCTTTCTAACAAAAAATAAAATGAAAGGTGAGTAACAGAATACCTGAGTATTGTCAATAAAATACAATAAATTTTTAAGTTAATTTTATAAGCATATAAAGTATTTTGCTATTACTTTCTTCTAGTAATCTGTGAAATATGTTTCGATTATGTAAAACATATTTGGATGATACGTCTTCAATAAGAAATTTTTACGCGTAAGACTTGATTATTAATCAAAAATTTAATTAAATCCTATTAAATATATAATAACCGATATAACTTTATAATTTACATATATTTTTTTATAATTCTCTGTTTAGCATTAAATGTATTAAAATTACATGTTCATCAAATAATTTATATCGCTAATCTGCATAAGCATAGTCAATCGAATACTACATAAAAATAATTATAAAGTATAGTTTAGCGTGGAAAAAATTTATAAGCAATACAGTAATGCTTTTAAATTGGGAGACAGTAGGATCAATGTTTTATTTGAAGATATAGTCAAATATAATAAATAAGTTATGTTTTGGTATTTAAAATTAAAAAAATGTTTATTATTGTATGTATAATTATTATTTTAGCGACATTGATATTTTTTAAAAGTAACTTTCTTCAAAATAAATAGATTATTATATTTAAAAGAAATAATGTAAAAAAATCAATATTATTGTATGTGTAATTAATTTTTATAATATTTCCATATATAAGTTTTTAAACATATATTTTAAAGACACGTCACTCATGTATAAGTAATTTTTCAATATCCTGCCGCAAATTACTCTTGATTATAATGACGTCACAATAATGCTTTCGAAAAACTGTGAAAGTTAATTTAAGCTACAAGTTGAAACAATCACTTTTGACTATTTTTCTCAGCAGTATTGCAAGTTTGTTGTGCATATTCGCGCCTACAGTGACGAATCCATTTTTTGAGATCACGATCACGCGTTTGGTCATTAGGACGTTGAGATTTCTTCTTCATTTCCTGTAAGATACTGTCGTCAGAGGTGTCAATTATTTCTTGATTTGATTCTGTGCATAAATCGGCTTTAATACTGTCGTCGCAGAGTTCAATCGTTTCCGGTCTGTGGATGTCTGTTTCTATTTCTGACGTAGGATTATTAATATAACCCACGATATCGCTATCTTCCTTTGCCGAACTGTGTGAAATTGGTATATCGTTTAATGTATTTCAAAAAACTATTAGGGATTAAAATTAAAAAATTTTTTTTTTCATAAACTACGATAGTAATTCAATTTAGAATAAATTTATATATAAAGCGAATAGATGATTAATTAAGCCGTTCGCGCATTTTCAATTTTTAATCGTCTTTCATAATTCAATTATTGCATAGTTTTGTCAAAATTAATTTTTATATAATAATACAAGAAAATTTGCTATAACAATATACAAAATAATTAGTCTTAAAACTAAGATGTATTTCAAAAATTATAATGGTTTAATTGATTGTAATTTTTAATCTATCAGATATTTTTTTAGTGACAATATTTTTTTTCTGTATACCTATATTTCCTTGGACTACTACAACTTCGGTATTTATTTTTCTGTCCCAAACTTTGCTTATGTTTGTCGAGATTCAAATTCATTGTTTGTTTCATATTATTATCGCATGGACGTATAGTGTGGTTTATATTTTTAATTTTACTATTAATATCATGGCAGAATGAATCTTCTTCAAAACTTGATATTGCTGAAAGATTGGCTTCGATACTTTCCTAATTAGAATTAATTTAATTAGAAAAAAACTTTGTAATTTAATAATGTATCTTATGAATCTTATGAATGATTTTATGTAATTTTATCAAATGTTATCTTTTTTTCATACTACAATAAAATAATAGAATTATATAAAAATGTATGTTAACTGAAATTTTTATATAATATAATATACAAGATATTAACATTATTTTATTGATTTTATTTATGCTATAATATATAACGTGATTGTATGTTTAAAAGTAAATTATGAAATAAATTACAAAATTTTGTTAGAATCAAAAGTCAAAATTCAAAATACTTATTATAATATTAATGTATACATTAAGATATTAATTTTCTATTCTAAGGTAAAAATTAATTGATAATACGAATAATTATTAATATTAATAATTGAGTGTACACAATATTGTTTTTTTTCATTGTATATTGTTTTATCATAATATTAATTTTTTGAAATTTCATTTTATAATTATGATTAAAAATTCTACTGAAAGTTACAATTGGTTAAACATTTTGATATACGAATACTACTAATTTATACGAAATTACTAACCTGTGTTGTGTTCGGTGTGTTTATATTGCAGTGGCATTTTTCATTTACTAATGCACATGGTGATTTGACAAAATTAGCATTTTTATCATTGTGTAGCTGATCAGCAACCGGACCTATCAAGCAATATTTATTTTTCCCTTGATTTTTTACGAAACTGAAATAACAATATAGAAAATATATTCTTTTTTATTATTCATAATATCAGATATAAGCTTCATATTAATGTTAGAATTAGCAACGAGCAGATACAAAGATACTAGCGATTCATAAAATTTTTTTTAAAGAAAATCCAACATCAATAATCTAAGTAGCATAAAAAGAATTACTGACCCTTGCCAGCATATTTGTTTGAGTGCAGTGCGAACCTGCGCGTCGATGTCACCGTCGCAAGGAAAATTTGTTTGTATATAACCGATGATTTCACAGATTGTCGAGGACTTGGATAAGCTACTTTGCTTTGTTTTCTTTTGTCGTTGAAGAGCTCTCATCGCTTCCATCACATGCAGCGAAAATCTCTTCGATTTAATAACTCCCGCGTGTTGTTTTTTGAGCTCTTTTTCATGATCGTTTGTTTTACAAAACTCTATAAAAAAAGGAAGAAGAACTTTTTGTCTTTCAATCGAAACAGACTGTATTTACAGCCGCATTATTTAAAATTCTAGAGTAAAATTTTTATTTAATTTAATTTAATTCCAGTCATGAAAAAGAAATTTGTACAGCTTATGATAAAAACAAATTGCTATTTAAATTAAAATTTATAACCATTGCCGTTATATAATTCAAAATGTATTATGTAAAATCATATTTTGTATAGTTTTAAGCATTTAAAATATTGTATTTTTAAATTATATTAAAAGAATTTTTTTCACTTATTAATTTAATATAATACAATATATTTTACATTTACTGTAATAAGCAACTTACATAACATCATTTATTAGAACTATATACGAATTGATATACTTTACAATTATTAATATTCTGCTACTTTAATAAATACAAAAGGAAGAATTTTTAATATATATAATTAATAAAAAATAAAAAATTTCACTGATAATACGTCACGTTCTTCGGATTGTTTATAAGAATCTTCATTTTTATGTAATTTTTCACGTTGATCTTCCGCTAACATGTTATCAATTATCATATTTATTTCTTCATCCGATGTATTTTCTTGCTCATAGCATTGCATTTTTTTAACTGAAGATTTTTTATATGAAGTAAATACGTTTTGATAGTTTATTTAAGTAAATGTAAGAAAAGATTTCTTATCGATACGTATATTATGGTACAAATAAAAAATACAAGTAAACATGAAGTTGGCTCTTGAAAAAGCCTTTTAAATTGAAACGTTTATTTTTTATTTTCTATGATGACAAGAGTTCAAACAGCTCTTTTTTATTTTATACTAATAGAATCTTCCTTAGCTATATCTTTTTTTTTTCAATATTCAAATTATTATGTAAGCATAAAAATGAAAAGTATCGGTATGAATTTATCTGTCGCGCAGAAACATTAGAATTAATAAATCGTTGTACTATCGACTTTTATAGATTGTATTTTTTATTAAAATGAAAATGTCAAAATAAATTCAATTTATTAATATTTGAATGAAAAGAGGTGTATGGTTATTGATTTTACTCCATATTTAATTATTTACTAAACGATAATGTGTTAAATTACAGAGAATGTTTCTATTATATTTCATATTGTTTTTTACATTATTATCTATTATAATTTGAAGTTATAAATACATAAAATAATAAATGTCGATGAATTATTTATGTAAATAAAAATTAGCAGATAAGAATTTTTAGCAGAATTTTTATTTCATTAGGATTAAAAAGAAGAAAGAAAGAAAAAAAAGGAAGTTATTTAAATACATTCACCATCGCCACCATCGTACTTAATCCTATTTTCCATTTAACAAAGCTATTTATATTTTTTTGAAACGTATACTCATATAAGCTTCTCGACAACTTATCTGATTGGCGCATAATCATCAGTTTCCCATTTAAAAACTAGCCATTTTACCACTGCAGCAAAGAAAAATCGTTCTTGTACGAGTACCTAATGTATGATTACAGATAATGTGTATACACATATATCTTCATATTATATTTACGCGCAGTGCATATTGATTTGCAATATCAGTGTAGAAATAATACACGTGTGTCCGCAATCCCAGAAATTGGTCAATGAAGTTAACGATATTTTACTTTAAATAATTTTTCACGCGATCTAGTATTTTCAACATTAATTTTTATTGATTATTTCGTTTAAATATATTTAAAATAACTTTGTATATCTTATTACAAAATAAATTAAATTATTTTAGAAATACGATTGTGCATAAGAAGATCTAATGACATATTATGAATATTGTTCACTTACAAACAGTATATAATGTATTTATCAATCGAATGAGTTAATTTTATAAGTTTTAATTTTCATTTCAAATTTTACAATCAATAACAAATCAAAATTATTTATCTTAACTTTTAACTTTCAACTGTACAAAAAATTATACAAAAAAAATTGATGTAATTCTTATTATTAAATATAAGTAATGTCAAATTTATTAATGATTAATGCTTAGATACACGGAAAAATAATCATTTAAAAAATAATCATTTAATTGTTACTTTTTGAAAGAATTAAAAAATAATTTTATGTACTTTATAATTTTAAATTTACTAATTTAATATTGTTATAAAAATTTTATAAAAAGTGGTAATATCGAGTTTGGAGAAAACTTAAAATTTATTTTAATTAAAATCTCTTTTATATATCCATCACTAGTTGAAGTCATCAACTCATTAAATCTTGTTTTTTCTTTTGACGCGAGACTCAATCGGTAGAAGATTCTAAGATATCCAGTCGAGGTGCGAAATTCCATTGCACACAAGCAAACACGCACACATTTATGTAATTGGACTCTGTGCATTGTTTCAGTATGTATAACTTGTACATGCGAATGTCGCGTGCATTCATATTTCGTGTTTCAGTAAACATAGGCATATGTGAAACCTGGTTCAAAGTTATCTCATCAACTTGTCACGAGGACGATACAAAAGTTTCTTCATTCCGTTGTAACTTAACTCGGAAGCAGTTAGCGAATACTTCGAAACTGTATTTCATATGGTAAAGATAAAAGTGATCTTCGCGTTTCAGATACTTTTTTATTTATTACTCTTGTTATTCTTGTCGGTAATTACGAATTTAAGAAATGAAATTTTACGTTTGTTAATTATAATGATTATACAAATTGTAATAATTTTTCTTTCCACATAATCACTATGAATGTTAAATGGTTTAGAGTATCTTTATAATCGTATTAAACGATATAATCTTAAAGAAAAAATTAGTACATTTTCAGGTTTTACTTGCTTATGAAAATAATATGAAACAATCAACGCCAATAAATATCATTTCTATTATTTGTTTCATATAATCTTAAGACAAAAACACGAGATATTTTTAAAAAAATATTTACAGTTTAATAAAAATGTAAATTTGATTTTCATTGCATCATGAATATTGTAATAGATTGAAAATTTTATTACAAAATATTTATATAATTTTTACTAATAGTTTAATTTTTTAAATAATATTTCAATGCATACATTAAAATTTTTAATAAATTTAAAAACACAATTTAATAATCTAACAATGATGAATTCTGATATGATTACTAATTATAAATTAAATCTTTACACTATATTGAAATATATTTTTATTTATGGTTTACAATTTAATAATAAATTATTTCACTGTAGAATATATTTTTTTCTTAAAATAATTAAAAGATTTTCTTTCAATTTTATATTCTATTTAGATACAACGTGATATTTTAAATATTTTCGATAAACATTAGGAGTCAAGAAAATAAAAAGTTCTTAAAATATAAAGTAATAACTAATCAAATTTTAGTTATTGCATGATTAAAATACAATTTATTTATTGACTGTGATATATAAAAGATATCTAAGATGTCTAAGATGTATTAGATGTATAAGAGAATTACAAAATTTATGAAATATTACGTATTTATTAAATATATTATACATATAAGCGTATAATCTACCTAAAATTATATTATCTCAATAAATTATCTGTCTTTTATTTTACTTTAGATAAAATAATAATCTTTTTTGGAATCATAAATTGTATTACCTCAGTATTTTAACATTTTATTTATCTTTCTATTATTAATAATAGATTATATTTAAATAATTTTGTTATCAAATGTAAAATAGTATTAAAATAATATTTATGTGTTTTAATACACATAATATAAAATAATCTATTATTTTATTCTATTTCACATTATGAATTTATATATACATATATAATTTAATGAAGACTTGAAAGTTAATTAAACGATGAGAGAGATGTTCATATGACTAATAATAATGGATTTTTATAATACTTTTTAACGTTTTTCTAATTGTATATTTATTTTATAAAGTCTTGTTAATCAGATTTTCGAATTTTATTTATTCCATTATTGCTTTTGATTACGAAGTTAATTTTATTCACATGAATTGTTATTTAGAATTAGACTATGGCCACCAGTTGGCCGGTGGGGGAAAAGTGGGGGCAAGTGGAAGGGGTAACGCTTCAATTTAGTATTCAACGCATCTGCTTTTCGTGCTTGCTATTGCGTTTTATTTTACAACTACAATATAATGATTCTACGTTGACCATGAGAATTGGTGAGATCTTGTCGTTTTTTGGTTGTTGCCACGTGGTATCAGCATACACTACATGTAGAGGTAGGAGGTTGTAAATCTCGGGATCATTTTGATGCAGTATCCTTGGTGATGAAATACTACACTGAAAAGTAAGAGATCGTAAAGCTCTTGACACTTCTTCGTGTAATGACACATGGTGGTAACTTGATTGCTGGTCTGCTCCAAGCTGTCTTGTGGTGTGGAAGGATGAGAAAGGCCATCCGTAACGGCTCTGATGAAAGTGTGTGCGATTGCACCTAGTATGAGAAAGGCCTGCAACAGCTTCGTGCTCGGGGCACTAGTATGAGTGAGAAGCTGCTCAATATGAAGCTGGTCAATGCATCTACCGTAGCGGTTCTGCTGAGAGTGTGTGCAATGACTCGAGTGACTCGTTTTGGCTGACTAGCGCCTTGGTCGACTGGCTCATGACTGAGTAGCTCTTATCTCATGGTAGGCTTGTCTTAAATATTTACGCGGTGCTTTCTTAGCTGCCAATAATGAAGCGGTTGTGGTGCTTGAAACAATGGGTGCGAATGGAGGTGATTGTGCACTTGTATCATTTCGGACTACCGGCTTTTCCGAACTTCCAACAATCAATGAATCATTTCCACGAAATTATAACCGTTGCCGCTTTTCCTCCAAATGATAGCTATTGGGTATTGGATAGCTATCCCCCAAATGATTACATTCGAGAGATTCTCTGAATCTCGAACAATTGATTACTGAAAAAATAGTTACTTTTTAAAAGAAATTAATTATCACTAATCATCAGTTAAATAATAAAAAATAATATTAGGATTAGCATTTTTTCTCATTTATTATTAAAATATAGAAATCGTTGCATACGTAAGATGTAATTAAAATTATTACAACTTAAAGTAAAATTAAAATATGTTTAGACATATTAACATCTTATTAGATTTCATAAATATTATTTCTTTCAAAACACATATTTAGAAAGGGATAAAAAATACACACTTTATAAATATATCTATATATGTATATAAACATAATTGAATAATAAAGTACAAAATAAAAGGCAAAATTGATATATTTAAATGGTTATCAGAATTTCTTAATTCTGATAGCTTAAAATTGAAATATTTAAAGATTTCTTAATATTGAAATATTAATTTCTAGTATTTCTTGAAAATATTTTATGTAGCATGAAAATTGAATGTATATTATAGAATTAATATTCGCAGAGGAGCATTAAAATTCCAGTTGAAATACAGTTTCACAATTTATATTATATTATTTAAAAAATTATTAATGCAGTTTATATACTTTTTATCACGGTGTGATTTAAAAATAAAAATAAACTGTATGAAATTAATGCATCATATATTATTCTTTTTATACTATTTCATTTTTTCACTAAAATGTGTAAAGTTATTTAGTAAATGTAATCAGAATTATTTTCAAGTATAGATTTAATCAGATTTTTTATTAATATATTATTAATTATATTATATGAAAAGAATAAATGATTTTAATTATGAATAAATTTTCTATTGTAGATTAATTTGTAGTTGAATAAATTTAGGTATTAGATAAAGATAATTATAAATTATTATGAATTTTCTCATTTTTTCAAAAATATTTCGATACTGTTACAAAGATTTGTTATAACTAATATTTCTTATTACAAATTATATTATTTTTTATGTTATACTATGTATTATATATATATATATAACAAGATTAGTAACAATTAGAGTAATAAATGAATTATTTGTTTATAGACAAGAAATATATTTTGAATTCTACAAAATATTTTTATAATCCTATCAATTTAATAAAAAATTTTTTTATCATCATTTCATTACATTAATTATTGAATTTATAAATTCAGTTCTTCAACAAAGAAATACTTGTATATATATATATATATATATATATATATATAATTCAAACATTTTCGTTTCATTTATAAAGGCTTTAACGCGAAGAACTTTTCATTTGAATAATTCCTTGAAACTTCAATAATTATTCAATTTAAAATTTTAAACTTATTAAATAGTATTTTTTTATAATAATAAATATATTTTAAATGTTTTTGTTTTTTTTCCAATATTTAAAAAAATGAATAATAATTGTTAAACAACGAATACGATTGATTCTTAAATTTATATTTAAATTATATAATTTCTTCTTTCAAATTCTCGATGTTTCTATTAGTTTAAACCATAAATAAACTTATAATAAAAAATGCAATTTTATTAATTTTCCAATATAAATTAGTTATGATAAAATAAAATTGTTCATTGAAATAATCATATTGTGCTTATTTGCTATATTATTATTTATTATTTAGAATCTTTTTTATTTAATTATATATAAACTAAAAAATTACTCATTTAATACGCATTTACATAATTATAAATGAAATAATAAACGAAAATTAAAATTAAAATTTATTATTTTCATTATAATAAATGAAAACCATTTTAACTTCGTTACATTCTCACGAGAATCAATGTCGTCGAAATTGAAATGAGAATTAACATTGTTTCCTAATGATCGTCATATTAACTTTATTTAAAATTTAATTACGATAATCAAATATTTCGTGGTTTAATAAGTATTATGTTAGTAATATTATCTTTAAAATTTAATATATTTCTATAAAACTCATCATTAATAAAAGTTGTGCGATTAATTAGGAATGATATTTACATTTATAAATGTTTGTAAAAGTAAGGTTTGTTTCAGATTGATTGCTTTAAATATCATTTTATGTTGAAAAAAGTTCCCACAATATCAAATATCTTGTCCGTCTTTGTCTACATTATAAATATAAAATTACTTTAATAGATTAACTTAAAAATTGTTAAGGTTTTAAGTTTAAAGTTAATTTAAAAATTATTCTCTTATTACAAAATTAATACTATTATAAATTTTCATAAAAATTAGTGATTATATTTTTAGTAAGTTTACCTTATTAAAAGAATTTAATTTAATCTAAATATTAAACTCAATGATATTTATTTCCAAATTTGTAGTAAATTATTTTCTAAGACCTCTTATAAATAATAATTAGTTAAAAAATTCTTCCTTGTAATGCTAAATTAATTAAATTAATTAAAATTATAAAGCATTTAAACTTTTTTCAGATTTATTAGTTAAAGTAGAATATAATAATAAATGTCTTTTTAAATAAGGTAATTTAATGAAAAATAATTTTTAATAACACGATGCCTCAATAGGCACGGAAACTTTTTACTCGTAATAGAATACTTTAAAGTAAAAATAAATGACAGAGAGAAGAATTAGGTTTGTTCTTTGTATTTGTATATGTATGCATTTGTGGTTATTGTGTATATATACATATATCCATATATATTTCTTGACATATAACTCTATACCCTTTATTTATGTGTGTGTATTTGTGTGTGTGTGCGTGCGTGCGTGCGTGCGCGTGTGCATGTGTGTGTGTGTGTGTGTGCAGAAAGAGAAACAGAGAGAGACAGAAAGATAATAAAAATGAGAGGACCAGAGAGTGGCAAAAAGTGAGTGAAAGAGTGAGGGAAGAGAGAAAGAATGAGGTTTTGTTTGTTAAGCACTTATTATCGTGCTTTATCACGGGCACTTTAGAGGGTTTAAAAGAGTTCACTTTCAGGTCAACACTATAATTTATCAATTGCAAAACATTAAGCCACCGATTATGTCGATTATATATAAAGCTGCCAGGGGATTGCGGACCGTCATTGACTTTGCTAAACGTGTACATTAAAGTCGCCAAAATCTTAAACACGTGCATACCATAATGAGGACCTTCGTTGTCATTCTTGCATTTTGTCTCGTCGGAGTCTTTGCGGTATGTATTTTTTTATTATTTTCTGATTAATTGTGAAAAATAAATTTTTATAATAATTGAAAGAAAAATTAATATTAATCAGTTTATGTATATATATATATATATATATATATATATATATATATATATATATATAAGTAGCCTTCAAGCATTATAAAATATAATTTACTTTAAACGCTGTATAATCTTATAATTAAAATAGTGTTCCTTTTTTAACATAATTATGTATATAAATATTATATTAATACTTAAAAATGTATTAAAATATAATTCTCGGTATATTTGAAATATAACATTATTTTATTTGTATTCAAATATTGAAAATGAATTAGTTTTTATTGGGTTTTGTAATGTTCGATTAGAAAACACTATAAATGTGTAATTTATTTTAAATAAATAAATTTATTATTTTAATTTTATTATTTCGTTTATTATATGCATATACTATTTTGTGATGGTACGTTACATATCAAAGTAGAAAATCTTATTTTAAAATTTATTTATTTATTTTAAAATATTGTTATTTTAAAGTTAAATAATGTAGTTTATTTTTAAATATAATTGTTTAATAAATCTTAAAATTTTCATTAAATAATAACGTTTAATCAATATCAACAACATTTTGAATAAATTTCACAATAATTTTTATAAATAAGATGCTGATTATGAAATATTAAAACGATGAGAAGAAATTTTCATTTGTTTATTCGTTTTTGTAATAATAAAACAATGTAATTATTATTTATTAGATCTTAATAGATACTGCATAAAGTCACAATATGTAGTGATTTGATTTTTGTATTCAATATATTAATATTTATAGTAAATTATTGAATTATTGACTTATTCAAATATACTTACATTTAATTAGAATAAATTTACATACGAAACATTTATATATTGATTATTGAATAAAAATATTTATATAATAGTTGTTAATATAACGAAGTTGAGAAACTATTAAACATTTAAATGAAAACGATATTCAGTTTGTAACTAATTTTTCAAAATATATTATTAATTTATACTATACATTTATCTTTATCTTTAATATAAATTTCATTTAAAATACTATTTTAATCTATAATAGGAAGATCCTATTAATGACGTCAACAAAGACTTTATCAAAGCATGTCTGATTGAACATGGATTTGACCCACGTAAGCACGAGAAATAAATTAATTTATTAAAACTATTAAATATGATTATTTACCGATATTAATTATAATTTTAAACTTAAATTTTTTAGAACAATACGCCAATGGTTTAAAAAATGAGAAGATTCCTGAGAAGGAAGAACAAAACAGAAACTGTTATTATGCATGCATGATGAAGAAAATGAATCTTGTAAGTAGGATATAATGTTTAAAATATATCACGTATTATGTAAAATATGTAAAATAATTATTATAACTTATTTGTTTTAAAATGTAGATGAATACTGATGGAACTCTCAACGAATCTAATCTTTTTATTAAATTCAGTGTCAACGTGGACAAATTAGGCAAGGCCCTTGATACATGCAAATCACAAAGTAAATATTAATTATTAATGTTATTAATGTAATAAATATTATTTCATAAATTCAAAAATAATCCTGAAAAAGATAATTAACCAAAAAAAAATATATACAATTTTTTCTTAATTGAATTCTTCCTCTAATACAGCAAATTTAGAATAATCTTTATTTAAGTAATCAATATTTTTTGTAATTCATTTTGTTCATAATTGCTAATTGTTTCTATAAAAATTGAAGTTCATAGTAGTTTACGTAAAGTGAAAGAAAAATAACAAAATGTGATGAATAAAATGGGAACAAATATCCATGATGATAATACTAAAAATAATAAAATAAAGAAAATACAATATTGTCGATCATTAAATAAATTATTATTTTTTTTAATTTTCAGATAAGAATGACAGCTGCAAACTGGCTTCCTGTTTGATGGCAAACCGAGGTGTTTAAATAGGCTGATTTTACTATTCAGAATTATTCATTTCAAATGCAAAATCTATCGTTTAAGGATTAAGAAATTCATGTACTATCATCAACAAACAGAATAAAATTAAATTTAATGTCACAAAATATCATATGCCTATCGTTATTAATGTGTATTCCCTGATTTCAGTATTGGGAATAAAGTTTACAATATTCCGATGAACATTATAGAAATAATATTTTTATACACAAATAGTAATTTTTTTTTATAATTGCATTTTATAAAAGTTTTTGGCCGTTTATTATTGCATTATTATATTACAAATTAATCTATTTATTTAATAGATGATAAATAAATTAATATAACTATAAATTAGCATTATTATATTTTAACTTGCAATTTTTCAATGTTTCATGCGTTTGAAACACGTTGATTTATATCATGAATCATAAATTTGACTATTATTTTTAATTCCAAAATTGTGAAATTCATTGACTGCGAATTAAGTGAATCCTATTCTTATGCATTATCGTGACTAACTTATGATATCATATATATTCTAAGTACAATATTTACAGATACATCATACTGAAAATTGAAGGTATGGTAATATATAGAGATTACCGGCGAATTTATAAAATGGTTAGGTCATAATAAGTGCTATTCTTTTTTTTCTATTTTACGGTCATCACATATCAACAACTACAGTTGAAACGTGTAATCAATTTTCTTTCGATATTATAATAAAGAGAAGCTTTCACGCAATTTTGTTACTTTGATATTTTGCGCGATCGAAAAGAAAGTAAAAAGACGGCAAATTGTTCTATTTATATTATTTAATTTATATTAAACAAATATAAAAAATGACCCCAGTGATTTCTTAAATTAAGTATTGCAAAAAGAACAGCAAATCATTTTTTCGAAATCGTTATCGTTTTGAAATAGAAATATTTTTCAATACAAAACGCTCATTTTAATTCAAATAAAAATGAGCACTATCCAAATGGTTAATAATATTGTATTGATTAAAGCTTATACTCAAATTATTTTGATATTTAATATCAGCATATATTCAATATAATTTTTGTAAACTCTTTATCTCATTAAAAATTGATTGTAACAATTATTATAGATATTATTTTATTATAATTCACAGGCAACTTTATCATTATTTGAGGGATAATACATATAGTCACGTATTATACAAAGTAAACAGCTTACCATATGATCATATTATATAGGCTAATGGAAGTATATGATTAAATAATTTGTAATCAATGTGCGTGAGTGTTTTTGTGATTATAGTTTAAGTTAGGCTTAATGTAAGTATTTCTTTATGCATTTAATATTTATTCCGTTGAGCTTATTAGTTGATAAGGATAATTTTTTAATAAAAGTAGATTAATAATAAGTTTCCAGTATAAAGATGAATGGAAATTTTTTATTTCTAATGTCATAATGATTTTAATGCTCGTTGATAATGTGTACATAATTTCTTACAGTCGTACGTATTAATCACGAATATCTTTAATTTACCAATTCATTGTAAAATTTAAATAATATTTTTTTATATATTTTATGTTAATTTAAAAAATTAATAATTATTATTCTTTTACTAATATGATTATTATAAATATTACTTGAAATTTTAATATTTAATACTACTAATTTAAATATTTAGAAAAGATTTTTAATAAAATTGTTAAATTATATAACTACTTAAACGAAATGTATTAAAAAAATAATTTAATTTGTATTTAAATTTAATTTTTAATTATTATTACAAACTAAAAGGATTTTTATTATTTTTTTTATATATTATTAAAATATAAAAATTTTATAAAATTTTATTGTATTAAATTAAATTTTAATAAATTGAATATTCTTTTATTTCATTATTATTCTAAATATTTTCATTACCGTTTATGGTATTTATTGAAATATTGGTTTAAACAAATTGTACCTTTTTCATTACTTTTGATGAAGAATCCTTTATTTTATTTGATTTTACTGTTCGAATTGAAAATATCTAAATAAAAGAAACAAAAAGCAAGTAGTGCCGAACTTCATTTTTACTCATTTACATTTATTGAATTTATTGAAAAATTTACTTCCGCAGATGTCGTTTTTTGTTAACTTTTTAATAAGTACAATAAATATTTAATTAAAAAAATTTATTGCTATATTTGTATCTACAGATATTGAGAAAATATGTAACATTAGACTAAATTTAGAATTAGATGGAATTTAAAAAATAGCAAATATACAACGTATATACTCGTTGATAATACAATATAAAGCTAAATATATTGAATATCGGCGACTTACACAAAGATCGAATTTATACCGTTTGAGTCTACATTTGCTTCAATATTTGACAGAATTTTTAAACAACAACAAAGTACTGCATTAAATAGTTATAAAGTTTTTAAAATACATGTTACTCTATTACTAAAACTGCTTACGATAAAAAATTTTAATTTCTAAATGAAGCACTAATTGCAAAGACATTACTCTACATTACTTCTTTTATTATTAATGCATTTATTACCAAGGCACGTGCAATAGGGAAGCCGGATGTGTAAAACGACGTTTGCCGTTGACGAGGACAAGTGAACAGTTGCCTGTTGTCGATATCGTCAGATAATATGTAATGAGGGCTCGACGCGTCAATTCACACGCACCGACGTTTTCCTGATGACCTAAAAGTCAAAAACGTACGCGAAATATTGGCATATTTGCTAATAAAAGCCACGCCGTTTAGTTAGAGCAACTTCTATACTATATTAAGATGTATGTGTATTTTGTATCTGCATCACTCGTCATGTATTATCACTAATTATATAATAGGTCCCAACCAAATTTCTTAGTCATTTGATGTATTAAATAATACTATGTCAATTGATAATTTTGTTTATGAAAATAGGCTTATAATTAATACTATACATATAATACACATATATTAATTGATAAATTGATATTTCCATAAAAGTTTGAAAGAATACTAATTTCAATAGATAATAAATGAATTAAGTAGGATTCTTAACCAGATTAATTTATGTAAACCAACGATAAATTTATTGAGAAAATTTTCATGAATTGTATAATAAATTTTAAATATCTGCTCGGTACATCGAACATTTTATTTCAATATTATTAACACAAGCGATAAAATTCGTCAAATATATGTAATAAATAACATATTAATATACCATCTACAAATGACTGCCATTTTAATTATAATTGATATTTTAAAGAAATTTTAAGTGAATTATTATTTATATTCTTAAAAATTTATTGCAATATTAACTAAAGAATAATTATTAATATAAACTAAAGAATTAGTTTAATTGTTAAGCATTGAATAAATTAAATAGTATATAAGAATTTAACAAAATAATGTTTTCTTAAATATGGTATGGAAACTTAACGAACATAACGACATTCTATTCAGATTATACAATAAAATACAATATATAATTGTAATACAAATGTACATATATTTATATATATATATATATATATATATATATATATGTATCAAAAGCATTTGATAAGTGTAAATAAAATTAAAACATTGCCCTTCTAGCTTCACTTACATAAATAAATATGTACATTCACTTCAAAATATCCTTTATTAAATTTCATTCTTATTCAATCTACTATTGATATAAATATATTATGTACATATACAATTGTATAGCAATTCTCTTATTTGTAATTTTATAATGTATTCAATAAATATATATAAAAAATGTGTGCGCGTATATAATACATATATGAAAGAATCTTTATTTTAATTATTTCATATTTTGCATATTTAAATTAATTTTTTTTAAGTCATTACATTTCCGTATGTACATATAAATGCCTTTATAATAATGAATCCGATATATTTGTGGAACAAACAAAAATAATGTCAATAGTAACTTTTCAGAATTAACTATAATTATGTGATATTAGAAAGACATATTTTATTTCTTCTTTAAATTGTGATCCCTTTAAATGTCAGGCTTATAATAATGTTATTCTATTTTTTTTTTTTTTTTTTAAAGATATAGTTGAATTTGTTAATCATTTAAAATGTATATTTAATAAATAATATATTAATATATATTATGATTACTTAAAAAAAAATCTTTTTTTCATGGTATATATTGTCAAACGTGACTTTAAAAATAATTTATAATTTCTTTAATCCTACAGAATCATTTATAATATTTTAAAAATTTTTAAAAATTACTTAATTATTAATTCTTAATTATATGATGAAACAAGTAAATATTTTATAAAAAAAATTTTACGAATGATTTACATGTATTAGGATATTGTTAATTAAATGAATATAAGTTGTACCGTATTCTTTATATCCATAGGCTAATTACACGTAGTTAAGGATATTTCCGCATTTTCTGAAAATTATAGGATTGTTACAGAGGGTAACCCGCTCCTTAGACTAACGATTACTTTTACTATTATAATTAAATATTGAATTATTTAATTAGATACTGCATCGTATTATATGTAGTTGGTAATTATTCCTTTTTACCCCTTTTTGATATCTCTTAACCGATTCTCCTTGTACCATTATTCACAAGGCTATTTTATGTAATTAAATTAATTAAATTTTAATCGTATATTCGAGGCATTCATATTTATTGGTTAAAAATTTAAAAAGGCATCGTGTAAGAATAATAACAAATTAAAATTCTTACTATTCATTGTTAAAATTAATCATCAAAATTTTCAATAAAATTATTACAAACATTTATCAATAGTTTTTTATATTTACTTTGATGGGATATATGTGCGACGGTTAAGTGATGCCTCAGGATATTGCGTACTCAATTCGTAAAACGAGCAAATAATAAACATAGGTGCCGTATCCAGGCCACGACTCACCTTAATTTTTCGCACCCGGTTGTGTGTTCAGCAAGTGGCCGTTACCGAGACACCCTTGCTTAACCTTCCAGACTCGTCGGCTTTACGATCACAGGAAATTATTTATACATCCGCAACCCTCACTTTAGCACGAAAGCGACACGCAAACCCCTGAGGAGGGCTAATTTGGAGCTAGATGAGCATTTTGTTTCCTCGTTTAGTTATCGATGTAATTGTCAATGCAGATAGATGTTGCGAGGCGGAGTGTCA